GCCCTTTAAGTTTGTTAATCAAAACAGTAAATCGAGAATACATTTCGTGAATTCCCTCACCTGGAGCCATGTCGAAGCACTCATACTCATGCACCAGGAGATCAATCCTGGTTTCCTTGATGTTCGAAGACCCTTCGTATGTGCTTTCAAGAGAACTCCAGATTTGCTGAGCCGATTCGCAGTGTTCAACCTTGTCGGCTTCTTCTGGTATCATGGCGGACTGAAGAATGTGCATCGCTCTTTGATTTAGCTGAGCACTCTTCTTCTGTGCCGCCGACCAAAAATTTTGTTCAGCATCTTCCATGTCGATAGGACCATCTCGAACCACAGTCCACAACTCTTCGTCGACTCCCCAAAGGAATGTTTTCATCCTCTTCTTCCATGCCGTGTAGTTCGAGCCGGTGAATACTGGCGGATGATTGTAGGACGCTTGCCCAAAATTGCCCGACGCCATTTTCCTGGACCACTCTTGGCAGCAATTAGCTCTCTCTCAAGAACCAGGCGCTCTGATACCACTTGTAGAAGAGAAGATTTCGTGAAATGAAATGAGAAGACAAAGAGAATTAGGGATTTTGACTTCCTTCTGTCAATGATCCAAGTCTTTTGTCAATGAACCAATTGGACCAAAACCGAAAATTAAACCAAACCGAAATAAGCCTCAACAGACTGAATTAATAAGAATGGGCCGAGACTCTTCAGGCCCACAAGCAGAAGACCGCTTTCCCTTAACTCAAGCCCACAGCAGATCAGAGTCAGAGAAGAGCAATCAGTCTTCTTCTTCCTCGAGCCAGCCAGCCTGAAACAGAGCCAAGCAGAGCAGGGGAAACAGGAACAGAGGGAAATCGAAATGCAGAAAGTAAAGCGCAGAAATTAAAGAACACAGCGAGATTTTTAACGAGGTTCACCACAGGGTTACTCCTCGTCCCGGAATAGTACCCACTATTCCGAGAGACACTTTTGATTTTCTTTGACTCTAAGAAAATGAAAGAAGAAAAGAGTTTACAAGATGTGGTGAGAAAATCAAAAGGCCGGACACTCAACCCAAATCCGCGCAGGGATTTGTTACAACCTTTGATCGACTGAACCTCTACCTCAGTCTCAATCAAAGCCACTGTTCCTAACCCCTTTGCCCTTTTCCACAAAGAAATCAATCGAAACCAGCAAAGCCGAGAGCCAAGCATTCTTCATTTATATAGCCTTCAGCAGGGAGCCGTTGAGAACGCTCGCAGAAATGGAAGTTATTCAAATCTTCAATCAACTCCCCCTTGATTCAAGCATCAATTAACTTGATTCTCTTAAGCAATCTCTTGACTTGATTTGATTGGAAATCTTCGAGGCCAACAAGTACGCAGAAGTTTGCTGAATATGCAATATTGCAGTGAACCTAAGAGCCTGTTTGATTGCTTGAACTGTAGTACTAGAGCCTGTTTGGCTTTTGGCCTATGTGTCTATTTGTTTTGTAGGTGAAACGACTCATGTGAATTTTGGTGCGTGTCTATTGGAGGTCTCATATATTTTTTTAAATGGATTTGGCCTCATTTGGAACCTTCGATTACAAATGTTGTATTCTCAGTATACATGTATCCGGTAGAATACAACGTTTTTTTGACTTGATGTAATAATAGAATGCAGGGATTTCCTACGGTAACTTGAAGTAAGGTAACTTGAATTTTTTTACCTGCTATAGCAGGTTTCATAGGTCGCATTACGTAAAATACAATAGGCATCACGTAATGGTTACGTAACATATGGTAATCTTACGTAACAGTTGTAAAAGATCATTACGGAAGCCTTACGTAATAGAAGGTGTCTTTACGTAATGAGTATTAACCTCACGTTACGTAAAATGCTAAGTCATTACGGAAGCCTTACGTAACGCTACTGATTTAACTGTTATGTAAGAAATAACCGTCGTTCCGTAACCTTTACGTAATGGAAGGTCTTTTTACGTAACGAGTATTAACCTCGTGTTACGTAAAGTGCTAAGTCATTACGGAAGTCTTACATAACGCTTTCGATTTAACTGTTACGCATGAAATAACTATCGTTACATAATCTTTACATAATGAAAGTGTATTTTACGTAACAGTTGTAAAATGTCAATACAGAAGCCTTACGTAATGGAAGGTCTCTTTACGTAATGAGTAATAATGTCGTGTTACGTAAAGAGTTAAGTCATTACGGAAACCTTACGTAATGCTTCCAATTTAACTATTACGTAAGAAATAATTGTTATTACGGAAGGCTTACGTAACATTTTTTATAATATATCATCCAAAATTATGAAAAGTTAAAATAAAAAAGAATATAAAATACATGCAACGTATAAAATCAAGCAGGAGCTAGGGATGACAATGGGCGGGTTTGCCTAAACCATCCCCATCTTCAAATACCCAAACCCATACCCGCCCCATACCCATGCGGGAAATGTTTTCCAAACCCATCCCCATACCCGTGGGTTTCGGGTACCCATGGGTAATACCCATCCCCGTACATCCAACATTATTATACCTAAAACTTACAAGAAAAGTTTTAATTATAACCATAAACAAACCTATTATATCATGAAGTCAACAAAACACGGTCATTTTCTAAATACGATTCAAAGAATATGATCCTAAAATATCCATTAATACATAATATAGACTACAATATTTTTTAAATTAGTATGCTCTAACTCTTGATACATTTACTAATTAATAATTAACTAACATAATCTTGTTGACAAGGGGGAAAGTGAAAGAGTGGAAGGAGAATTGAGGAAAATGAATTAGGTTTTGATTAAGGTGGTTACTCAATTGCATTTCTACTATTTATTTTCTCGAGTTATCATCATCATTATTGATAGATTACAATTCAATCCACATATTGTTTTTATATGTGAAGAAATTCTCTTGGTGGGGCGGGTATGGGTATGGATATGGGGCGGGGGAGACTAAAACCATACCCGCCCCATACCCATCAAACTTTTTGCGGGTTTTATCCATACCCGCCCCATACCCGGTCAAAGCGGGGATTCCCCGCGTTGACTGGGTCGGGGGCGGTCGGGTACCCGCAGCCATGGGTTTGATTGCCATCCCTAGCAGGAGCCGTTGAGGTGGAAAAAAGAAAGAAATAGAAAAAGGTAACAAGAAAGAAATGACCGGCAGTAAAGGTGTTCCGTTATTTTTTTTAATTTTTTCTTAATCAACGGCTAGAGATATGTTTAACTGATTTTGATGGTCTAGATCTACGCAAGTAACCTAACTTAAAATTATACCCAAGTCAGCGTAGGAGGTCCCTAGAATGCATGTATTCATAATCCTTGTTGTATTCCTACTACATAAAAAATTATGTATAGTGAATCTTACCTTTTTGGTGAGATTTTAGTATATCCATATTTCAATTAACCTATAATCCATGCATTCATTTATGGTTTCCAAACAATGAATTTTCAAAATCACACATTCTTAGCATACACATAATTTTTGATACACACATTCTCGTAATACATTATTTCCGGAATCAAAAGTTCCAAACGATCCCTTACTTGTCAATGATATGCTACATAGTTGGGAGGTGCTAATCCATATGCTAGTTGTGCTTTCACACTATAATAATAATTGAGATTCGATCCATGACTTTTGCCTTGTGAACAATGGTGACGAATTAATCTAGGATCCAATTCTTACGAAAAATGTATCACAAAACTGTTTATTGTCGTGACAAATCAGACTCTCTTATCGACGATTCGATTACATATCGTGATTATTGTCCTTATCTTTTTTTTTAAACCCGAAAAAACTCCTACTTTCTATCTAATTGTTCCATTTTGGAATATGCATGAAAATAATAATAATAATATAGTGGTGCTTTCATCAAACTTTGCATGTGTAAGGATACCATCAGCAGCCGGCCGTTCTATTTCTCCGTCGAAGTTTCGGCCATTCAACGGGATTCCCTTCCCATCCAACCTCTAACGTACGTGGCAACCTAGCAGCTTAATCGTCTATATACTTCGTTTTGTTTGATTCCTCGGTTTTTTTTGGGAGTAGTAGTAGGATCTTTTCATTGCTAATACCCTAAAGATTACAAAACCATAAGTATTGGAGGTTATAATGGAAAAATTCACTGATAGGTAAGTATTTCGTACTAAATTTTTTCCGTTTAACGTTAATTTATCCGTTTCATATCGTTAAAATCATCTATTGATTTGGGGTATGTATCTAATAATATTTGCAGTCCGACCAACCAGTATGTAAGGAAGTGGTTAATTAGTACCATACTCCCAACAACTCGAGTTATTGAGACCAATTTGTCTTATGACATGGTATATTAGAGGTGGTTTGTCATTGAGGTCGTGTGTTGAAGTCCCCACGACCCCCAATATTAACCGTTGTCTTAAAGCACATAGTATGGTTTGGACATGCGCAAAGTTCAAGCTCATAAGTTGGCTCTCGTTTGAATGGGTGCTTGTAAGAAAGTTGTTAAGTACGATACATAGACCTCTCGCATAATCCGAGGTTAACTTATTTAGTCCTTAAAAGCAAGGATGACAACTGAACCATAAAAGGATATCCGACTTGACCCGATTAAAATAGGTCGTCATATACCAACTAATCCAAATAACTCAAACGATAGAGATACATCCATATTCTTGCTTCTACATGTTCCCACAAGTCAACATCGCAAGGCCAAGAGGCCCAACCATATTATTGTAAACAGTGTACGCCTAAGATCGCGACGCACGTAATTAAGCAGTCTTCGTTCAATACAAAGGGAAAGATGTCTCAAATGTACTGACATATATATGATATAATTACACGGCAGCAGCATATGCGAAAAATTAACCCCTTAGCTATAAATGGATGCCACTCGATCGACCATATATCTTCATAATAATAAAAATTAAGTTCCATTCTGTGAGCCGATATCCAGCTATGGATGTCCCGGTAATACAAGAGAAGAGATCAGAGATGTGTGAAGCAGTGCAAAGATGGTGGTGTGATCGAGGGACGTTGATGAAGAAACTGAAGTCGTATCTGGTAATGATGTTGCTTCAAGTTGGGTTCGCGGGGATGTACGTGCTCACCATCGTTTCGTTCAGACACGGGATGAGCAGTTACGTCTTCTCCGTCTATCGTCACGTCGTTGCCACTCTCGTCATGGCTCCTTTCGCTCTTCTTCTCGAAAGGTTAGCAATGTATGCCAGCGGCGGAGCTATCGTAACCTGCGTTTGATATGTGCCAGGGGTTACCTATAAATTGATATCTCGTACCCCAAATTAAATATTGTGAAACGACGCTGATAAATTTTGTGTCGGTTATGCTCGTGATTATAAGTATCACTGAAATAAATAGCACCAGTGTCAAAAGATTTTGTGTCGGTTGAGGGCGTAGCTAGAGAGTAAGAAGGGTGTTCTATCACACCCCTTTGATTTGAAGATACACAACAAAATTTAGTAGTATTAGTATACCAATAGTAAAATTTAAACCCCAAATTTTAACGTTAATTGTCAAATTTTACAATTCAACCACATTCAATTATATAAATTAGTTTTATCTAGTAAATACATTAATACAGTCTAGTTTATCAAAACGGACAAGAGGGTTGCAGATTATTAGAGAAAATCATTAATTTTCTATGATAATAATTAATAATAATAGTCTAAAGAGAAAATAAATTCTTATCGATGTATTTGTTTGTGCAATTAGATTTAGTTTTCTTCAATGAATATGAGATGGCATCATTGATAATTATTCAAAATTATATTAATGCACCCCATAAATAAAATTCTGGTTTTCTTAAATTCACAGTTTTCTTGTAGTTGGTACTACAATGACTTCATCCAAGTCCTCATCTTATAGATTTTTTTTTTTTTTTTTTTTGAGTTTGCAGGAAGACAAGGCCCAAGTTGACGTGGCGGGTGTTCTTGAAAATAGCCATGCTTGCTTTCTTAGAGTAATTAATATCTCCAATTCTTTCATGGTTTTGCAATCAAATTAATATAATGAATCATGAAAAAAATTCAATTTTCATTCTGATAATCAGGCCGGTGCTGGACACGAATCTGTACAATCTGGGAATGAAATACACGACCGCAACGTTTGCCTCTGCAACTCTCAACACCATACCTGCCATCACCTTCATTCTTGCTCTCGTTTTCAGGTAAATTCATTTCTATTTCTTGCAGCAACTGGAGTTTATTGATTCGTCTCGTTTAGAAACAAGTTTTTTTTCCTTCCTTCTCGGGTGTACATTTTTATGGTACGCTAAAAATCGTCGATGCAAAACTCATTCTAAAAGCTCATAAGGTCGTAATTTTGGCAATCAAAGATGTTGACACACCAAAAGGATGTTTCATGTAATTCAAATCCATTCGATTATCGTATAAAATTATTATTATATATATATATATAGAATATCCAAGTATCTAACAATATATGCCACAAGGAAATGATATTAATTGTTTCAATAAAAATACAAGCTAATGAGATCAATTGTTTCAATCAAATACAAGCTAATGATTTTAATTCCAAATTAAGGAAGACCCTTTTGGACCGTCCGTCCACTAATATAATTGACTGAAAATACAAGTTAATGAGTGGACAAAAAAAAAAAAAAAAAACTTAAACTTATAACGGGATATTCCTAAAAACAATTGAAATAAAAACAAAACGAACACATAGGTAGCGGCGGCAAATGATTAGCTAGTTGTTTTTGGCTTTTCATAATATCATCATTTTATTAATTTTCAGCTGATCCTGTCTTATATGTTTAAATTGTTCTGTATTTTCACCAAATTTTTTTAATGAATTGTGCTTTGATGTATTTTGTAACAAAAAAAAAAAAAATTCATGCTCAGGGGCAAATCTTAAGGGGTTGTTTCGAAGTTGTTACTATACTTGTATTGATTAGAGAATGCATCGTTTTTGTAATTTTTTTAGCAGACACAATACATGGATTCTTTCTGTGATGTGACAGAAACTATCACTCAAAATGAGTGATTGCTATATCTCGGCTAAAGTGATAGTTGAGTTGAGATTGTTTTATGTATCTCGACTTTTAACAGATGTGGCATACACAATCACAATTCCCACATATCAAAACGTTGTATTTGACAATCACAACTTCCAAACTTCGCAACGATAACTTTGTAAAGCATTGTTATAGGCTGGAGAGTGCAAACATAAGGAAGATTCACAGTGCAGCCAAGGTGATTGGGACCATAATCACATTCGTTGGAGCCATGGTCATGACATTCTACAAAGGCCAATTAGTTCTGGGCTTGAGCCATACTTCCACGTCACTGCCGTATTATGGATCATTCATGGTACCAAACGCCGGTAGTGCAGAAGAGAAACGACATTGGGTCGTCGGGACGGTTATGCTCTTCGCGAGCTGCGTCGCGTGGGCTGCTTTCTTCATCCTCCAGGTAAATCGCGTCGTTGAGATCAACTGGTTCTTAATACGAAACTCGATCGAACATGTATGCTTTCTGATTGCATATATGCCATGTATGTCTTTTATTTGGGATTACTAGGCAATGACGTTGAAGGAGTATCCGGCAGAGTTGTCTCTGACGGCATTGATATGTTTGATGGGAGCTGGGGAAGGAGTGATCGCTACTCTTGTTATGGAGGCAGACTCGAGTGTATGGAAGATTGGCTTCGATTCTAGGCTCCTTGCCGTTGCTTATTCCGTAAGTATAACAGTTCCTTTCAGGATAGCGCGTACGGTTTAGGGTTTAGGATTTGGAGTTTAGGGCAACCAAATGGATAGCGGCGCAGTCGAAATTTAAAGTGTGCGCAGGGATTAGAAATACGAAATTACGATAGTTTACGGGGATCGGGATCGGTCTATTAGGATTGGGGCCTGATGACCACTATCATACACCGCTTTCTAATGTTCATTCGATATATTAACACATTTATATCGACCCTAAATAAAATATTAAAGCGGGAGCGGGCTTATATATATAGATCGATCCTTCTAAATTACAGGTAGCTCCACCGCTATATAAATGGGTAAATCTTGGACCTCTTCTAACCATTGAATCGAGAGACTTTTTGTTTGAATTCTTTGGGTCTTTCAATTTTGATTAACATGTTATCGATCGTACAAAGGGACTGATAAAAAGATCACCTATACAAATTTCGAACTCGTGAGTTGAGTTAAGGACGTATAAAGAAATTGATTTAATAAAAAAAAAACCAATTTCGAGCTCTTTCAACAACTCGATCATTGCATGATGAAGTTAAATATATCGAGATAAACCGATTCTTGAAACATGATTTTGCTGCAATAGTACATAATCTTTCATGATCATCCAGTATATGGTGATTTGCAGGGAGTGGTTTGCTCTGGGATTGCGTACTACGTGCAAGGAGTTGTCAGCAGAGAGCGAGGCCCGGTTTTCGTGTCTGCTTTCAGCCCTCTCTGCATGATTGCCACGGCTTTTCTTGGTTCCATTTTCCTTGCTGAAACCTTGCACCTTGGAAGGTAATCAACTATCGATCGCACATTATTTTTCATCTCGAAACCTATACAATTTCGATATGATCAATTCTCCCCGACTTGTTTGACCTGTTTTCGAGAGGGTAATACTTGCCCCTTAATTAGGCGGTAGGGCTGGCTATTTGGTCCGGGTTTTTTGGTTTTACCTGAAACCGGACCGTATAACCCGGATCGAGATCGGATCGGGACCGGATAGTAAACAATCCAATCCAATAGGCGGGGTGGAACAGACCTAGATAATCTCTCCGACATGACTCACACCTCGAATCGTTTACCCTGAATTGTATACCGTTTTACCCAAATTACTTAGAATACTACCTTTATTACGACATATTTTTTAATTACGATTTATCGCCTAATATTTTAGCTATAAAAAGTTGTAAACAAGAAAGAGAAACTCGAGTTTTTGAATAATCTAACTATATTTATCATGTCATAGTTTGTTTCTTGTTGATTTATTAGTGAAATAATCTATGTTTCACGTATCTTTTCCCCTGTAAATTACACACGCATATGCGTCTACGTGACCTTACCCACGCCCCAAGATAAAATATCTGACCTGGACCCGATCAAACACAAAAGAGATCATGAATATCGAGATACCTACGTACAAGGGTTCGGTCTAGTACTAATAGCACTAGATTTGAACATGAGATCCTCAGGTGCAAATCACTTATAAGTAATACCTAATCACAAAAAAAAAAAAAACATATATCACCCTTATTAAAAAAAATATCGACATACCTACCCTACCTGACCCGTTACCATTTCTACTATACATTGCTTGCTTGTTAATTTTGGATCTAACTTTACTAATTTTGGGTTTAATTTTGACTACAGCGTGATAGGGGCAATTCTGATAGTGTTTGGGCTTTACACCCTTGTGTGGGGAAAGAGCAAAGAATCGCTACTAATTACCACTCCAACAGCAGAAACCCCATTCGTAGAAGAGACTACCATCAACGTCCATGATGCAAAAAGCTCCGGTGACCATAACGGTCGCCGGGAACCGCCATGTACCGGTACTGATCAGTTGAAGGCCGGCGCCGGAGATCTACGAAATTGCCTGAAATAATTGGTTTGATGTAATTAGTGAGATTGTATTGAATATAAAGATGGAGTACAACTTTTTCTTTGAATACGCATTTTGAAATGCATCGCATGGAGAAAAGATATTGTCCTTGTATATCAATTGTGCAAATGTATATCCACAAACGTGTGAAGATATTCAAGTGCAGCTCATTTGTGACGGTATTCTCAGAGGATATACTACATGGAGAAGTTTTATATTCACCTCAAGGTAGTGATGTTGCTACTTCTTCCTCTTTAAGGACAATTGCTTTGGCTATGGACATGGAGGGAGCTATCTACCCTATTCATCAATCAAACCCATCAATGAGAGTAAATTTGACGGGGCTATTTCGTGATGTCTTTCATCATGAAATTAAACCTATTGAACAACGAAGTACCTTGTGAATAGGATGGAAATGTCATGGAGGATAGTGATGAAGAAAATGATGGTGATGAAGTGAGCGATGATCCATTGTATGATATAGGTGGAATATAAGATTTGATAAAATATGCATATGAGGACCTTGAAGCAGGAGTATTCCAAGGATAAGAAAGCAATTTCGTAAAACTATAAATAATTCTTGAACTTGAATATGTTATTTGGAGGTAATCTAAGTTCTAATTTATTGATGCTTAAAGAAGGCGAAGTTAGGCCCAGCTCTAATTAGAGAATTAGATTATTGGAGAATTTTGATCTCTGGTCAGAATTGAGTTATGTAAATATGAAAGAAATTAAATTACAAATTATCTAATTAAGGACTCAAATGACTTTTAGTCATTTTGACTAAACACATCCTAGTCACCAGATTAACAATGTTATCTAACCACCTCATCCGGTCAACCCTTGAATCAAATCCAAAATCATTTATATTCATAAGTACTTCCTCCAAAAAAAAATTTTTATAATGGATGCAACCGCACCCTACCTTTCATTCAAAACCAACCGGATTCGGACATCCCCGGACAATCATACATAATCCAATAAGACAACATCGGATCCGAACTCTCTACCTCATGTAAACCAAAGGGGAGAACATGGCCCCTACTAGCAAGATAATCAGCACAACAATTGCCCTCTCGATAGATATGCTCAATAGTAACCTCCCAGGGTCTCGGCATAAGTTCCTCCAAATTAAACTTAAGCTAAAAATCAATAAATTTGCCTCCATCCACCCACATAAATTTCCCCACCACCATCCATTCGCGTGCCATGGACCCCATCCTCCCTCACATCCCAATACTCGCTGTCCTTACTCGCGTCCCACGAATCGTACGACACGAAAGAGAGACGCTTATCTTCAACCGCGAGGTTGCACCAGAAAAGTGTTCCCGCCGTCGCCCCGAACTTCCAGCTGATCTCCTCGCCGAGGGGGATGGCACGGGCCCCGAGATCGTCGTCTTTCGAGTGGCAATGCGCTATCAATATCTTGCTGCTCAGCTTGTTGGCCACATGAATCCTCTCCTCCTGGACCGCCGGTCGTGCCATCATGATGATGATTAGTACCATGGTGAAGTAATTAGCTGGCTGATTGATGATATTCATGGTGATGTATTAATTAGTAGTTTAGATAGTAGGAGAGTTTAGGGTTTACTTATAATGATGAATTAGTAAGACGAGAGTTCTAGCGGAGGTGGGATCGATAATCCGGTCCGGCCAGCTTTTGCTCTGGCCGCGGGGAGACGTACGGCTCTTGTGCCTTGGGATTTGGCCCTTTCTGCGTGTAAGTTAATTGTCATTTTGGCTCATCACGGTAGCCGGACGGAAAGGGATTGATGATAAAAGATTCGTTGTTAACGACATTTATGGTAATGAATTGACTCCTAATACGGAGCTCTCGTATTAAGCAAAGGTGCTTTTAGATACAAGTTGGATTTTATTAGTATTATATAGTGTTAAGGGTATTTGTTCAGTTAATACCATAAAAGTTATTTGTACGAAAGGTTACAGGTACTCCTGACGTAAAATCTTATACCTGTTCAGTTTATATCATTAACGTCTTTGTATAAAAAAATGAAATACAAATTGGATTTGTAATATAATGTTAAAGGTACCAATTATGTTTGTACCATAGCATTGTAAAATTCTCCCTAGCTAATATGTTGTTAGCAAGGTTGTTAACCCGGGTTGGCCCATCGGCCTGGCCAGAGGACTGGATGGCGGGTTGGTGGGTCAATCGGGGTTGACCCGTTTGACCCACTTTTTAAATGGAATGGTTGTTTTAAGTTACTTAAAAATTTAGGGGATCAAATTAGTAATTATGGAATGGTTTTTTTATTTAAAATAAATTTGGACTATGGGGTGAAAATTGTAATATAGAAATAATAGATAATATGGAGATCTGTGTTCGACTGCCGCTGCTGGGTGAGGCTCTGCGAGGACAAAAGCTCCAACCCCGGACCCGTTCTGCGGGGTCAACCGCCCGGGTTTGCCGGGTTTTGATCAGGTCAAGGCGGGGTTGACTTAAAAGGGCCATTTCTCCAACAGATGTTTGAAACCGGTTTTTCCTACCTAGTCTGGGTTAACCCGGGTCAACCAGCAGGTTGACAATGTTGGTTGTTAGTGTTTTACCTGAGGCTATTTAAGGAATGAAATTAATGACATAAAGTTCTTTGTTAATTACTGATGCAAATAAGAGTTGGCAGGATATTGTGATGTTTGGTAGTAAGTGAAGTATGGAGAGAGCGCTGCCGCAAATTATATGGCCACAAGAGTCTGACAGTAGCAAGTTTGGTTCAGAAGATGCAGAGGGTCATGGAAGCAAAAGTACAGGGGGATTAGAGTGTTGTCAGCTCTCCTGCCGCTCGACTATTGTGGTATACAGGGAGTAGTTCGATGTAAATGGATGTATAGCTTTCCTATAGTTGTTTGTTAAGTCTGATAGGACACAAAGTCTTTGATTGTAATCCATGATTGTATTTGATGAAAAAAACCATTCATTCATCGGGAAAAATTACTTATGCAAATTATTGTAAATAATAGGTTGTTGAAGAATCGGATTCTATGCATAACTTTTCTATGCTTAGTTTTGGATAACTTTCACTTAAAAGTAATTAAGTTTTCCTAATGTAATGGGTATATCTTTTTTTTAAGTCGTAATAGAATTTTTTCACAGAAAATCAAATTAATTGTACTTTTAAATTGACATCCACTTTGATATATTTAAAAAAAAAATTAGAAAATTTATTACCATGGTGGTAATTCTTGGTAGTACATAAGATTATATAATGGTGATATGAAAGTGTAGCGCGGTAGCATGAATATACCATAATGTAGAATAGTTGAATGCATGATAGCATGTGTATACAATATACAACTGTCATTTACTTTTTTTTTATCACCGTCTACCACCAGTTATCACACTATACCAAAGTGGTGGTATATTTGATCTTGAATTTTTGCCTCCAAAAAATATTAGATTTAATAGATAACGATGAACTCGTTTCTTCTGGCAAAATTTTCAAATTTTAAGCGAAAAAGCAAGTTCTCTCCTAACGGTAGGATAGTGATTCGATCGAGCTAGGATGGTACTCAACACCGATCCTACGACGGACCTATGACGATTCAACCCAAGAGAGCTCTCAACCTTGTAAATAGCTAGGTTAGTTAGTTTAATTCTTCTAATCACCATTCTAGGTTTGCTAGATAACGAATCTTAAACCTTGTAAGGAAGTGGTTAAGTACCATACATGGGCCTCTCCCAACAACTCGAGTTATTGGGACCGACTAGTTTATGACATGGTATCAGAGCTGGTTTGGCCAAGTGGTCGTGTGTTCGAATCTCCACGACCCCCAATATTAACAGTTGATTAAAGCACAAGGTTTGGTGGGCCTGTGCAAACTTCAAGCCCATGGGTTGGCTTTCGTTTAAGGGGGTGTGTTAGAGAGTGGTATAAGATCCAACATAACCTTCTCCCAACAACTCGAGTTATTGGGGCTAACTAGTTCATGACATGGTATAAGAGCCTGGTTGTCCTTGACGTCACGTGTTCAAGTCCTCACGACCCCCAATATTAACCGTTGTCTTCAAGCACATGGTATGGCGGGCCTATGCAAACTTCAAGCTCATGAGTTGGCTTTCGTTTGAGGGGGCGTGTAAGGAAGTGGTTAAGTACCATGCATGAACCTCTCTCAACAACTCGAGTTATTGAGACCAACTGGTTTATGAAAAACCTGTGGTACGATAAATTATTATTGCTTGATCCACATTTGCAAATTTGTTTTTCACACAATTTTTTCGTCATATTAAATGGCTGTTTAGTAATTAATGTGACAAAAAACAATTACATTTTGATAAACCAAGCACTTTTCACACCATACATTTTATATTTCCCTTTGCAACTTCCCAACAGTCCATAATCGAATCACATCCTTAGAGACTAAGTGTATTTAGCCATATTAAATGTTTAATCAACAATAACAGATTAATATTATGACAAACATCAATTATGTAACAAAAATGTGACGGTATATAATGTGGCAAATGTTATTATCACGGATATTTCACCATTTATAGTTTTCATCTTCATTCCCGCCAACAATATTTTGATAAAATGTTGATGTCAAATTAGTTTTCTTGGAATAAATATTTAATGTGACAAACTTTTATGACAAAATAGTACTTTGTCACAACTACTGACATGTGGATTGTGACAAAATTTGTATTTTACCATCCCAATTCCCAAACCACACCATCCAACTAGGGCTCAAGATAGGCTCAAGATAGGGTGCATAACCATGGGTTATGCACCCATCAATAACCAAATCTGGACCATTCATTTAGAAAATCCAGATCTAAGGATGGAGAATTAAAGACCATTTTTATTTTCACTAGCTTTCTTAATTGACTCATATCTTTTTCGTTTTAACTCGGATTTTAATTTTTTTTGCACAGATGGAACGAGTTCATCGTGCTCTACAAAATGAGATCAATTTTCAATATTTTTTGAGGAAAAAAAATTTCTGGCCTCTCGGTACCAACTACATACCATATGGTATCTTCTTCGTTTTTAATTCGTTTTTGAAAACGTTTGCACAACAAGGACGAGTTCATCATGATCTATTGGATCTACAAATTTCTGGGTGAACAAATTACAAGACCAAAAAATACCACACAATACCAACCTGGTACGGGGTGGTATCTTATGGTATCTTATGGTATACAATGTTAAAAGTCGTAAATGACAATTAATATACTTCTACTATCATGTATTCAACCATCCTACAAATTTCTGGGTGAACAAATTACAAGACCAAAAAATACCACATAATACCATACAATACCACCCTGGTACGGGGTGGTATCTTATGGTATACAATGTTAAAAGTCGTAAATGACAATTAATATACTTCTACTATCATGTATTCAACCATCTTACAGTTTTAGTTTGTGTCATACCACCATGGTACGCTTTTCAAACCATAGGTATGCTCTTATTTCAATACCAGTCAATACCATATGGTATAGACTGGTAAAAAATGACTCAATTTTTTTTGTTCGAAAAATATATCAAAGTGGATATCATTTTGAAGAGCACAATTAATCTGATCTAACTGTGCAAAAAAAATTAAATTTCGACTTAAAACGAGTGAGAAATCGTCCGTCAAAGATTAAGGAGAGGAAAATTAAAGGCTTTTCAGGAGAGAGAGGATGCTGATGTCATGCTGATGTGGGCTGGTTACTCATAGTTACTCACCATAAGGTTACTGACCTGATCCGTTCCCCTCAAGATAGGGTGCATTATGCACCTATCAATAACCAAATCTGGACCCTTTATTTAGAAAATCCAGATCTAAAGATGGAGAATTAAAGGTCATTTTTATTTTCACTAGCTTTCTTAATTGACTCATATCTTTTTCGTTTTAACTTGGATTTTAATTTTTTTTGCACAGATGGAACGAGTTCATCGTGCTCTACAAAATGAGATCAATTTTCAATATTTTTTGAAGAAAAAAAAATTCTGGCCTCTCGGTACCAACTGCATACCATATGGTATCTTCTTCGTTTTTAATTCGTTTTTGAAAACGTTTGCACAGCAGGGACGAGTTCATCATGATCTATTGGATCTACAAATTCTGGGTGAACACATTACAAGACCAAAAAATACCACACAATACCATACAATACCACCCTGGTACGGGGTGGTATCTTATGGTATCTTATGGTATACAATGTTAAAAGTCGTAAATGACAATTAATATACTTCTACTATCATGTATTCAACCATCCTACAGTTTGGTTTGTGTCATACCACCATGGTACGCTTTTCAAACCATAGGTATGCTCTTATTTCAATACCAGTCAATACCATATGGTATTGACTGGTAAAAAATGGCTCAATTTTTTTTTGTTCGAAAAATATATCAAAGTGGATATCATTTTGAAGAGCACAATTAATCTGATCTAACTGTGCAAAAAAAATAATTTTCGACTTAAAATGAGTGAGAAATCGTCCGTCAAAGAATAAGGAGGGGAAAATTAAAGGCTTTCCACGAGAGAGAGGATGCTGATGTCATGCTGATGTGGGCGGGTTACTCATAGTTAC